TAGACATACAGAAGTATGTATATGTGCTCGTCTAATAAAGTGGTTCGACCAACCGACCGTTCGCCGGCTTCGTTCGCTGCCGTCGCGTCGCGTCGTATATCAACAATCACACCACACACGCGCGCGCTGGGGCCCCAACTTGGCACAGCCTCAGCTTTTTGTTTTGGTTTTGCTTTTGCTTTCAGTTCAGTTATAGTGAGACCATTGGTTGGGCCAGCCGCAGTAGCAACCGCAGCAGCAGCAGCAACACACGCGTTTCCCGCCGGAGCTTCCATTATCCAGAATCCCTGACCTAACATTTCCATCACCTGTGGCAAGATGTCCTTTGTGCGTCTAATTGGTGCTGAGGTAAGAAATTCTATTTGCATATGCTACCAACGGCTATCGATAACAATTGCGCAGTGTTAGGAAGCCTAAGAGGGGAGGGGGCGTTGAACACTTGCAAGTGCACTGGCAAGTGGGCGTGTATGTGTGTGTGTTTGTGCAGTGCCTTGCACTTGCATGCAAATTAAAGCACGCGTGCTTGCCTGTGTATGTGTGTGTGCTCATAAATTTGTCCACATTAAACGGTAAAACGTGAAAAAAGAACAGACTATTTGATAGCGCAAACACATGTTACGTAATTTTAGTTTGCTGCGATTCAGATAATGCGACGATCACAATAACGCCAGAACGGACACTAACGCACACACGCAAAAACTAATTTTCTGTATGTATGTATGTGGGTAATACAATTGTATTTTAATTAGACGTTAAGCCATATAAATAAATGCCTATCAAACGGGCGGCATCTGCCACTGATAAGCAAAGGCGTGGCATTTATCCCTAAAGTACATATACATATAAGTATATATGTATGTGTGTGTGTCTCTCCGCGCATATGTATGTATTATCATGTTGCCAGGCAAAGCCATGCTCACCTGTTGAATTTAAAGTATTGCAGTAAAACACTTGCAAGATATGCACATATATACATACATACATATGTATAGTATACAGTGAAGCCTGGCCCAAGTTGTCCAACGAGCGCAGGCGCGTTTGCCTTTTACGCAACTTTACTGTTTTGATGCAATTGTGGAAAAGTTCTCAATGGAACTTTTATTCTTATGGAAAAAGGGATGCCACTTGGCAAAAAAAATATTGTACCTAAATTTACAACGAAAAGTACGAATTTATTGTTATTGATATTTATAATTTACAAATTGGTATAAGATGTCCTTGAAATGATTTGGGAACATAGAATGTTGACATAATTAAATTATTATGTCATCCAAAATTAATTTGGAAAAAACCCAAAGTCAATTTGCTTTCTCCATAGGGCAAAAGTTCCTTGTGGCCAGGCCAATTTGCATATTCATTCAATTACAATAAGAATTAATTAGGCAAATTTTTATATAATGCAGAGAACAAATACGAATTTATTTGTAGAAAGAATTAACTATGAGATAAATTTTAAGTACAGTCGTTACGCATGTGGGAGACGTGGCACGTAGCACCCAGCAATTACAAAAATATTTGTATATAAGTAAAAGATTTTTTCTAAACAAGAGCATATATAATATGCCAAAAATGCTAAGAGTTGTCAATCCTTGATGTCCTTCGAAACTGTACATTAAATTGTACCGTTAAGACATATTGAGTGTGACAGTCTTATGCAGGAAGTGTACCATTGAGGTACTTTTCCATTTAGTAGATGTGGCAACCTTTAGCCAAGAGATTCAAATATCACTTCAATCGACTTATCGATAACATTAAAATGTTAAATCAAATTACTTTTGCAGGCACGTTTGATCGCCAGACGTAGCTACTCGTCGTCTGCTCCCACAACCAAGCTGTTCATCGATGGCAAGTTTGTGGAGTCAAAGACCAACGATTGGATCGATGTGAAAGATCCGGCCACCGACAAGGTGGTGACCCGTGTGCCCAAGGCAACGCCTGAGGAAATGAAGACCGCTCTGGAATCCAACAAGCGCGCCTTCAAGTCATGGAGCAACACCTCTGTGGTGTCACGTCAGCAGGTCATGTTCAAGCTGCAGGCCTTGATCAAGGCCAATATGGGTGAGCTGGCAAAAAATATCACCAAGGAGCAGGGCAAGACTCTGGTCGATGCTGAGGGTGATGTGCTCCGCGGTCTTCAGGTTGTCGAGCACTGCTGCAGCATTCCCTCGCTGCAGATGGGTGAGACGGTGGCAAATGTTGCCCGCGACATGGATACCTATTCGCTGGTCATGCCACTCGGCGTCACCGCAGGCATTGCCCCATTCAATTTCCCAGCTATGATCCCATTGTGGATGTTCCCCGTGGCCATTACCACTGGCAACACCATGTTGCTGAAGCCCTCCGAGCGTGTGCCCGGTGCCACCATGTTGCTGATGGAACTGCTCAATGAAGCCGGCTGCCCACCCGGTGTGGTCAACGTCATCCACGGCCAGCACGACGCAGTCAACTTCATTTGCGACGCACCCGAGATTAAGGCCGTCTCCTTTGTGGGCTCCGACACGGCCGGCAAGTACATCTACGAGCGCGCCGGCAGGAATGGCAAGCGTGTTCAGAGCAACATGGGCGCCAAGAACCACGGCGTTGTGTTGAGCGATGCTAACAAGGAGAACACCCTCAACCAGCTGGCTGGCGCCGCCTTTGGCGCTGCCGGACAGCGTTGCATGGCCCTGTCGACGGCCGTGTTCGTGGGCGAAGCTCAGAAGTGGATCCCCGACCTGGTTGAGCGCGCAAAGAAGCTGAAGGTTAACGCTGGCCATGTGCCCGGCACCGATGTGGGACCCGTCATCAGTGACGCTTCTCGCAAGCGCATCAACGATCTGATCGAATCGGGCGTAAAGGAGGGCGCCAAGCTGATCCTCGACGGCAGGAAGATCACAGTGCCCGGCTATGAGAATGGCTACTTTGTGGGCCCCACCATTTTGACCGATGTCAAGCCAAACATGAAGTGCTACACCGAGGAGATCTTTGGCCCCGTCCTGGTTATCCTCAATGCCGACACCCTGGACGAAGCCATCTCAATTGTGAACGCCAATCCCTATGGCAATGGCACCGCCGTCTTCACCACCAACGGTGCTGCTGCACGCAAGTTCGTCAACGAGATCGATGCCGGCCAGGTGGGCGTCAATGTGCCCATCCCCGTGCCCTTGCCCATGTTCTCCTTCACCGGCACACGCGGCTCCTTCCGCGGCGATCATCACTTCTATGGTAAGCAGGGCATCAAGTTCTACACACAGACCAAGACCGTTACCCAGCTGTGGCGCGAGACAGATGTCAACCACACCCAGGCGGCCGTGGCCATGCCCACCATGAAGTAGACACCCACACACATACAAAAACCACACAGACACACCCACACACATGCACTCGTGTGGCGTGAGCTGTGGAAAGGAATTGCTGCATTTATTTTTTGTGCCTGTTAATTAGAGTTAAGCTAAATGTAAAATTGTAAAAACAAGATTTGTAAAAACTAAATAAAATGTTTAAAACAAAAATAACCAAAAATTCTTTTGATCGAACGTGCAGTTATGGTGGCAACGCCCACTTACTTTTATTTACAATCGAATGATCGAACGAGGTGGCAGCTCTTCTTCAAGGTGGGATACAATTCAAATATCAACGTATTTCTTGCTTTGTACAAAAATATACTTTCCATTTGTTTGCCAAACATAAATATAAACTTTTAGTTTTTTTTTTTATCAACTTAAAATATATCATGACGTAATCCTCTGTTAGCTGATTTAAGTTCAAAATAGCTGGCAACGCTTTCTCATACCGCGTAATAATAATAACTCATTGTACAAATTGTCCATTTATTTACTTAATATAAATTAACATTAACATTTTGAATTTGCTTGTTAAAACATTCATCTAGTATTATTATCCATAGCTTGAACCAAGTCTACCTTCAATAACACCTATCAATAGAATTGATTAATATAGTTTCCCGTTTTTTGTAAAAATAATAACAATGCTTTGTAAATTTGTCTTGTCTAAGATATATACAACTTGTGTATATATGTCTATGAACACTTGGTGCAGCTTTCGCGCTGCAATAACTACTTGCCACCAAACGCTTGCTTGGATACCAGCTCCCTGAAAACGCCATTTGCCCTGCCCATCAGCTCGTCAAAGGTGCCCTGCTCCACAATGCGCCCTTCGTCAATGACTGCTATTTTGTGCGCTTGATGTATTGTGCTTAGTCGATGGGCTATGGTAATCACAGTGCGGCCACGGATGAGCTTTTCCAGCGCCGTCTGCACTAGCTGCTCCGAAACGGCATCCAGTGCACTTGTTGCCTCATCCAGGATGAGTAAGGTGGGATTCTGCAACAAAGAACATGATTAGCATATAAATATGTAGAAATATCTAGATCTACCTTAATCAGCGCCCTGGCAATGGCCACACGTTGCTTTTGTCCGCCACTTAAAAGGATTCCCCTTTGACCCACAATGGTTTCAAGTCCATTGGGCAGCTGGCTGACAAATTCGGAGACATTTGAGTCGTTGATCACCTGTTGGAGTAGCTGCTCATCGGGTTCCTTGCCCGGTTGCAGTCCGTACAGAATGTTCGACCGTATGGAGCCAGAGAAGAGCACCGGCTCCTGACTAACAGCGCTCACATGCTGGCGCAACCAATGTGGATTCAATGTTCGCAAGTCCATGCCATCTAAGTAGACGGCACCCTGCTGCGGATCATACAGACGCAACAGGAGCATTGCCAACGTTGATTTACCCGACCCAGATCGCCCCACCAGGGCGGTCGTCTGGTTTGGCTCTAGTTTGAGCGAGAAGTTCGATAGCACTGCGCACTCTTTGCGCGCCGGATAGGCAAAGGTAATATTGTTAAAATCAACCTCGCCAATGATCTTGGTTCTTGGGATAATGCCCTTGTCAATGGGCATGGCAAACTTTCTGTCCATGATCTCCCAAATGCGCTGCGAGGCGCCAATTCCCTTGTTCAGCTGGCTGTAAAAGTTCGACAGGCCGTTCATGGCGATAGCTGTGTAGCCGGCATACAGCATGAACGAGGTCATGGCGCCAATGGTGAGTTCCTCGTTGAGCACCAAAGTGCCGCCATAGTAGAGCACCGATATGATGACCGCGTTGCCCGAGAAGCCGGTCTGAATATATGGGCGAAAATTGTGATTTAAATTCATTTGCAGTTGCCTCTCAGCTAGCTCACCAGGCCAAAGAATATGGATCTAGCCTTAGTCTCCTTGTAGCCAATTTCGATGGCTTCGTCCAGCTTCTTATCGTACTCCACGCACTCGTTGTGCTCGCGGCCGAAGATCTTGACAGTGCGCACGTTGCCAAACCGCTCTTCGGCATGCTTCATCACCTCCGCGAATTTGTCCATCTCGGTTTTGGTTATGCGGCGCACATAGCGTCCATAGATGATGGCAATCCCAGCCAGAGCGGGCACAACCAATGCGCTGACAAGCGCCAGCTTGGCCGATGTATAGACCTACGGAATGACAGAGAGGGAGAGATAGTAGATCGATTACACTAGAGTTAAGAGATTGATGAACGCAGTGGACGCACCATCATGACGGTGCCTACACCGATCATGGCCAGCGAGCGAACCCCATCGGATATGTTCTGACTGAGCGAGGTGCCCACAAAGTATGTGTCGTTGCTCAAGCGGTTGATAAGCTCGCCGGAGCCGCGCGTATCGAACCAGGATACCTCCTGCATGAGCACCGATCGATACAGATTGGAGCGCAGTCTGCGCACAATACGCAATGCTGTGCCAAGTAAAGCGGAGAAAGTTTGAATAGAGAGTGTGAGACAGAGAGAGAAAGTCAAATTATGCTGCGGGCTCACTTGCGGTGCCAAACAAATAGACGCGCGAGAAGTTGGCTAGGCCACCAATGATGAAGACGACGAGCAGCATCTTGGAGTAGTCTCGTAAACTGGTTACGGCCGATTCATCCATGCCATCCTTGTTGAACACTATGTCAATGACCTTTCCCAGGAAGTAGGGTACGCTCATGGTAATGGCCGAGGAGATGACCAAACAAGCAAGCCCCACTGCAACGAAAAAAGCCTAATCGTATGAGCAAAACTCATTGGCATAGATCGATTGGTGGCGGTCCATACTTAGTAGCACCCACTTTTCTTCCTTCATCATATGCATGAAACGTGAGGACTCGCATTTGGCGGTCTTAAGGAAGGTG